ATTTGTTAACGTAAGTGGGATGCACCATGTAAGTCCCATAATGCAGTGGGGCTTCATTTATTAAAGAAGACATGATAAATTTACTGTATCCTTAGAAATAGTTTACATTGGTTGACACCAAAAAACAATTTAGTAACAAATTCAATACATATAATACTGAAGTAAAACTTTTGGGTACCCCACTGTAGACATTTTCACCAATCAATTAAAGTTACTAAAGTAAAACACAATAAATTATTGACTGACTTACTATCAAGCATTGTAGTGTCTTTATATCGCAGTCACTCATTGTGAATTATTACTTTGCTTGTTCACACAGCTTCACAATCTTACATTTTTGTAAACAATTAATTAATTCAAAACTACAATCAAATACTTACCCATGTATTAATTTTTCGTGACCAGTACACACTACCTCAACAAGGTGTTATCCGAGTCAAATGTAATACTGTGGAATACTTTATTTTTGCTGGAATTAATTTTCGCTGAAAAGGCTTTTTGGGAGTTTTGTATGGAATTTATTTTCACTGATTTTTGATGAGTTTAATGTGAAATATAGGAAAAAAAGTATATTCGCTGGATTTTATTTTCAGGGAATCATCCCTTCAGCGAAAATAGCGAAAATAAATTCCAAGCGAAAATAAAGTATTCTACAGTATGTGCTTTGCAGTTACAAGATGGTACAAGATGGATTCTAGACAGCTGATAACAGATTCATTTGAATTTGATTATCTATGAGTAATCTGAAGCTATTGTAGAAACATGCAATGAAACAAAAAAAATGATCAAAAGAAAAATTTCTTATATTCTTTGTTTATTTTCAGTAACCATGACAACTCTCCTGTGGGTGTATTTCGTTTTGGACATGCTGAAACCTTAATACCGTTATTAAGTATTCTTGGGTTGTACAAAGATGAAGAGATTATCTTGAAATATGACAATTACCATAGCAACTGGAACAGAACTTTCCGAGCCAGCAAGCTGTCTCCGTTTGCTGGTAACATAGCCTTTGTTTTATACAGCTGTACAGATAGCACTGGAAACTCAACGTATATGATAGAGGTATTACTCCATGAACAGCCAGTGACTTTACCATGCTGTGCTTCAACATTGTGCTCCTATGATGTTATTAAACAATTTTATTCCACATGGCTGGAGGATTGTGATTTAACCGAATTATGTGGAACTTGGACTGAGATACGCCAACCAAGAGAAGAGCTCTGAGTACATTGTTCCCACATAGTGATCTATTTGTTTTTATTTTCTGTAAATGACATTTTTTATTTTCCAGTCACTTTTCAGCCTGTTGGTCAGAAAATGAATTTTAAAGGGATTGAGTATTCAAATATTTTGTAAATATTTTATTTACAAACTTTTAAATAAAGTTTGAAAAGAATACTTGTAGTTTTTTTTATTTCCTATTCTAAGTGTGAATAAAACTAAAATGAGATGAAAGTTGATGGACTCATTATTCACATTACTTTTTTATTTGTAATTATTAGTACTTGTGTGACGCAGATTTCGGGACGTGACTGCGTTGTGTGATTTTTTGTGTTATAGACTTCTGCGATCACATAAAATAAATAAATAACAGAGACGGGGCTTCAATGCTCTGGAGGTAGTGGAAAGTTCTTTATTCACTTGCGACATCATCAATGGCAATTCCTGCATAGAATGACGCCATATTGGGATCAAAAAGTAAAAATA